ATAGTCTATTGGCCCCCAAAGTGTATAATGCCATCGTAGATTAACAATAACATATGAATTATGATAGTCTATTGGCCCCAAAAGTGTATAATTCCATCATAGATTAACAATAACATATGAATTATTATAGTCTATTGGCCCCAAAAGTGTATAATGCCATCATAGATTAACATTGACAGATGAAGGGCGGCAAATACAAATTGGTAAATTTCGCGGGGAAAAATAGATACATTATCGAGTAAATCTCAACATTGTTCGGTAATATGCTACTTCTCTCATAGGCTGAAATAAAATTATTCTTATTGGTCGAGAGTATCCAGCAGTACCTCTATATAACAAAGCGACTAAAACGAAATTATGTAATAATGGGAATAATAAAAAGAATTGAAATATTATGAATCTGCGACATTGATCATTGTTCATTTTTGTTAAAATAGAAAACCAATAGTATGGATATTATGATCATTAGAGAATGTTTAAAACTTCGTGTCCCAGATGTTTGTGCCAAAACTTTAGGGGGAATACAACCGGTCAAACTTTGCTGGAGCCTTAGATGATCTTGTCCTAGCCAATCAGAATACTCCGTCTTGCTGCTTTTGACGACAAGCTTATTTGTGGCGTCACTGAACATCAAATCAGGACTTGTATAGTTCGAAGAGTCGAACATCTTGAAACCATTATCATTGTTATCACCACCAAAAAAATACTGAAAATACAAGAGATAATGCAATTCAATTATTCGTGTTGTGAATTTACATTACCGTTATTATTATTCATGCCTTTCGATCCACGGCATCAATTAGTATAATTAACACCGCTCAATGCGTTTTATGTGTGGTCATTCGTCAATAAACACATTTCTCATATAAATTGTCTTCATACTAAATGGCATATGACTACGTGGCCGAACAAATTGTCTTTTCCAACGATTTTTCCTCTATGGACTTGCGATTTGACGGAAAACAGAATTGAAATATAAATCACAATGTTGTCATATTTAAAGTTTATTGTTTCAAGACTCAATTACTGATACAAAATGATCAAAAAAAGAGAAATTTATAACTAAATTATTTCTAGATAGGGTCAGGATTGTAATCCAATCTGATTAAAATATGATGTATTGTACGGCGTGTATTTTATTTTATATATTTAATTTACTTTCACTATTTTTTTAAAATTTATTCTTTATATTACGTACTTGTGATTCGGTATATTTTTAACTATCACTACATACATCTGCTTGTTGGCTTTCAAAATTACCAAAACTTCAAACAATAAATACAAAATAAAATAAATAAATATACAAAAAAAACCAAAACTAGGATCTCATTTCACTCAGATTGGTTTGTAATCCTTTTGTAGAAGACCGGACGCATTCAATCGTTTTTTTAATTTAGCGAATAGACGAGTTTTGAGTCCCGGGGCGTGTTCCATGATTGTCACGTTACTGAATACTGAAAACACTTGTGACAAAAGAAATTGTCATCTAGACATATTTTACATGTTAAAGTTCATACGAATACAAAATATATAAATTAAATTCTTAGATTCAGCTTTATGATTACAAAACACATTTTCTATATTTTATGTTTGTGAACTTTCAAAAATAACATTGGATGTCTACACTACAGAATCAGCACGTTCTGCATAAAACTGAAGCTGGAACTATGTAATTCTGGTGACCGGAACTCATCTATTTTATTATTAATATATCCAATTTACATACGATCTTTCCAGCATTGATGATATTGCACGTGAGAAATATATTGGATGCAACGTGATAACAATGCGTGCCAAACAAAACCGTCGCATCGGACATAATGCCATTGACTGCGTACCATCTAAGAAGGTGCGCACTGCCAACAGGGTGTGGAAGATTCACGGGAAACTGAACCAAAGTCCTGAACCAATTGTGTCGATATTTTAAGTAGTTATTAACACATTTGTATAAGTGTTAAAGTGTGTTTTTCATTTTTCTGTTCCCGGTGTGTGTGAAGCCACAGTTGCCGAAGTATAAAACCGAAAGTTATTTGCTCTGCATGATCACATACTTGCACCACGTTTGTACCTTCCAAGCTTGCACAAAGAAGTTACTGCAAAACCAATTATTTTCACTATTTGGATGTTTTGTGCAATTTCACTGGGTTTTCACGAACTTGTCAGAAAAACAATGAGTAATATTGTTATTCTACATTCTACATTCTACATCAACGAAAAAAGCAAAATTAAAACCCAGTGAATACTTAATGTATATTTCAACAAAACATGCAAGAAGGATTTACTCACTTGTCCTATGCGAAGCATTTTTCTGTATTTGTGTAATTCTCTATCTGTTTTGTTACCACTTGTCATTACAATGTTAGAGGGCACCTGCAACGCATCAAATACAGTTACACCATACAACTGTGTACAGATAGATACGTCATCATTTTGTAAATGGTACTGATTGCCAATTCTAAAAATACGTATGACAGCAGAGGTACATTACTTGGGGTTTGTAACTACGGTGACATGATACCAAGATCCCGTCACAATCTCGCTCTCGCATAAGCGTTCCAACTCAGAAAAATGCGAATGCGCATGCCCGAGGTAACTAGGATACTGGGATGTCCAGGTGGATCAAAATAGCTGCCCACGGTATGACGGATTACGAGAACTATATTTTCTGTACATTTTCGATGTATTACATTTTTCACTATGATAGCGACAAGAAAAGTTTTATTTTTTCATTACAAACCTTGAACATTGATATGTGTCATGTCAGAAGGTCGTAGCCTCAGTCTCGTTATCTACGAGAAGTGACTTGAATGGGATCTTGACATGATGTCACCATACAGTACTATGCGAGTTGCAAACCCCAAGTAATGTACCTCTGATGACAGTCGTACAACAACATGACCAATATACACACGCTACCTGACAATATGTCACCACTACCAGATACATTCAATCTGTAAACTTTAGTTGTTTACCTTGTTGAAATGACAGTCCTCATATTCAGAGGGCGCTCGTCGAGTCCCGTTCTTACAGAGAAGTTTAAGGCCAACTGATATTCCAGATTGCGTTGATGATAGTGATTGTATATCAAATGTTACTGCCAATGCTGATAAATGATTGGTGAATGCAATTTCACCAGTTCCTTCTATTAAACATCTATGAGAAAATAGGATAAGTTCAGGTTGAATCACCACTGTCATGCAAAACAGTTCGATGACCCCTGCCCTTATAAACATCGTGTGTGCTCCTGTGAAAATTATTTGAACTGCATTGGGCAACCCATTGTAAAAATGACACAATGAAAGATAATGCCCAAATTGAACTAGTTCACTAATGCGTTCATCGACTTTTACATAAAATAAATAAATGCGATAAAAACATAATGGATTTTAATAAGAAACGTGGTCAAATAAAACAACGTAAAAGTTTGTTTCAATGCTAATTTCAGAATAATGACGAATAACTATAAAACTAATACAGCTGTAGATATTAACACATTGCTTCAACCCACCTGTGTCATGCGGACTCCACAGACGTTTGTTAAAATAAGTTATTAGTCTGCTAGATATAAGAACGACGGCCGTTAATGAAATGGGATACTAAGAAAAAGTTAACGCGCCACGTGACTATACATATTATCATACCTTAACGACCCCATGTTGCCATAGTATAATTCCTTGTGGTTGCGACGACATGTCAGTGTGTTGGCACATGCATCACAGAGATCTTGACCATTCATCCCACCCGTATCGTAAGCTCCCAACAGCACACCTAGAAAAGCGAGCTCATTGTAGTTATGGGTCACCGTATAAACGCAATATTGTAATGAGATGATATATATTGCTCAAAGTCTTATCTACGAATACCACGATAATTGAATGAGGGCGCAGCAACTCATGTCCGCCAAGGTGACACAGAGCCTTGAATTTTGAATCCATTGACAAATAATTGAGTTTGTAATATTGTTGTATTTAACCGCTTTCCTGTAAATATGCAACATGATTTTGCAGCTCTCTGATAAACCGACTGCTCATCATATAATCTACGACGGTGACGTTGAGTGTCATTTTAAATATCAGATCAACATACCCGGTACACATCCTTCCTCGAATAACGTGTCTACAGATAAGGTATCCGTCCAGTTGGAGAACTCATCGCGATTGTTGTATTGACATCCATCCCTCTGCAAAACTCCCCAGTCAAACATGGTTGCTATGGGAACCACCCATCCAGCACCCATCTTTATTCCACTAAAGCATGCTGTTCGATTCTCCATGGTGTCAATATTGATGTCATCATTATTTTCTTTGCTAACGGCTACGGCGTATGATTCCGTACCACCTGTGTGCAAGCGAGAAGATGATAAAAAAAACTTTAACAAACGTAAATACCGGAGACGATCGCAATGGCAATTGAAAATTTTTAAAATAAATCACTAAACGATAAATCAGTCCAATTAATTCTGGGAATATCCAGGAGACTACTACAGCTAGCGTAAGAATAGTTTATGTTAATCGCGTGAATTGATAACTTACGTAAATGCACCGAACAGAACGACGAGAGTCGGCTATGCGTTTTGATATTGGCCGTAGATTTGATTGGGGTGACAAACGTAAATACTGGAGACGATCGCAATGGCAGTTGAAAATGTTTCAAATAAATCACTAAACGATACCCTTGTGATGGGTATTTAATAATAAAATCAGTCCAATTCATGTAGTGATTCATGTGTGAGACTACTGTAATTAGTGTAAGAATAGTTTATGTCAATCGCCTTTATTATGTCCATTGTTAAAATAATTAAACTCTTCTCTAAAGTTGGAGAGGGGTGCCCTAAGAAGTACTCTGTACCAGACATGCACTTCAAAAAATATGAATGCCATTATCTTGCAGTATGTTATGCTTACTTGAATATTTCTCTGCCAGGATGGGTATCAGACCGTATTGTTTCCCGGCAACATACGCATCTCCTGCATCCAAGTTGATGAGATCAGCTCTGCCGTCAAATATAGTGTGCATGCAATCCTAAAACAGAATTATCAGTTACACCATGATACTAATGCACATCGGAAACTATCTGACTACCAATATATGCCTTCCCGTCAATAACGCCCTCTCGCGGGGAAGAGCTACTATAGCCTGGGACCTATACGTAGGTCCTAGTTCATGCATACCAAGATAAACTCTCGAATGAAAATAAGTTAGACCTACAATTGTGAATACGTACTACTATAAAGTGCGAGTTGGGTGTGAACATAATATATTCATTACGACGGATCTCGATGGATTGAGTGTCAGTCATAACAACGACATGGAATGATTGAACAAAAATTGTGACCAATGATATATGACCAGTGACCGTCGACATTGCAGCGGAAACGTGTTGTTTTTATTAAGCTTGTCGATGATTTCTCTGTTAATATGTGCCGGTGAAATTTAGAGTAACCCCGGACCACCAATGGGAAAAGCAATCCCCGTAAAACAATCACAATCAGCGGACCATTTTACAAACGAACTGACGTTCGAAATAGCTCCGCTGTCCTACAAGAACATTGACAAAACGCAGTAAATATCATTTTTTCGCCACGAATGTCAAGAATATTTTCTGAAAATAAAGAATTAATGATATCGTCGTGAAATCTGATCTGATAGAGGTCTACCCAAGATGCCTACACATAACAAAATTATTAGGCTAATACTTTTTAAGAAAATATAACTTTTTACTAAAAATGAAATTTTCACGAAATAAACCTATATATAACATAACAAAGGGCTGGTAGCTGGTAGCCGAGATAGTAATTCATATAGTAACACAGCCACTGTTCCTTTTTTTTTATTATCTTGAAAATACTGAGAAAATTTGCCCATTTCCCCCTTGAAATGTTTTTTCTGCATACAAAATGCATGGAAAGTTTCTCAAAAGACAAAATTTCACTGAGAAACTTCAATTGAATCTGAGAAAATTCAGCGAAAATAAGGCTTAGAGGGAACACTGAACACAGCGCATCTTAAATACTACAAACTAAAATATTGTACGTATGACAATGAATATAATGAAGACATTAGACCCTTTCACTCCAGATAAAGACCGCAGGATAAATCGGACTAGTATTAATGCCCACTACAATAGTGAAAATACTAACAAAAAAACAGTCCCCCGTACAGGTTTGCACTCATTTTACCGTTTTAATCTGGTATGTTTTCAAAGGTTAGCGTTACAGGCTTTAATAAATGCATTATTCAATTATTATACAGATAATAATTAAACAGGAAAAAGAAACATATGGGCGTAATAATATCAATTATGTACCGATAAGTGATTTACAGAGTGAGTAGCAATCAGAATTGCATTTGGTGTTTTTCAGCATCAATGAGAGACAAGCCATGGTGTTTCTTGCATAATTCCACACTGAAAACGTAGAAGCAATTGGCCTGACAGTTTCAATGTGTTGTTGAGAGGGTGGTGGTATTTTTAAGCAGTTAGCTCGTAAAGCAGGTGTGGACATGACTTTTGAGTCACTCACCGGGTCAGTGTCAACAGATGGTGGAAATAAGAGAATAAATTTTTGATAGAAGGTTGTGTTAACCTTTCCTAGTACTTCAAATGAAAATTAAAGCATCCAGGGTATAAGTAGCTAACACCACGATACATCGAGGAGTTTTTCCCGGCTACGCCCTCACAATACCCCTATGTAACATGATGTTTCCTACAATAACCCGAAAGCATTAAGCAAACAGTTCCGTGGTAGAACAAGATACTACCGACAAAGTTGTAAAAGCAGCTTTATCTGCCTAGAAAATTTCAGAAAATCTGCAACCCAAAACAGGGCGGTGGTCATCGCGCTGCGCATGGGCTACATTTGTGTTGATAAACCTTGATTTTCCCATAATCCAATGCGCCTTTCTAATTGACACGACTTGCACTACTTACCTCCTTCAATCACCTAAAAGAAAATACCAATTTAAGCTTGGTAACATTTCAATTTGTACTCGTCCATGTGCGCAACAGTCGCCATCTTTGTTTATATGAGACCCATATATCTCGTGCATGCGTGGCACGACGACTACCCCCCTTTAAGAACGGTTATAATTTCTTCTGTACTACTACAATACTGGGCTTGTTCGGATTTTATATTCACCCGACACATAATAACATACCAGTGTATTGTAGCGTCGAATACACTCCACTTTTGGTAAGATCGCCTTTTCCTTGAATGCTGCACTCATGTCTTCACATTTGGTTTTTTCATCACGTGATATCACACACCATTTAACTGTAACATAAATATATAGGCACGCTTCACAAATCAAGCCAATGGCCGCACACCCCTGGTAAAACGCAAACTACGTTAGGGTGGCTTAACTCTGTTCACTGCACTGACATTTAACGAGAAATGTCATTGCTTCACCAGCATTTAAAACTTTACATTACAGTATGCATGTTAACAAAAATTTAAAGCTGGAGGGTCGTCACCTGCGCACGCGCGGGAATTGAGTCCCAAACGACGATGACAGCACACGCTAAAAACGCTTGTTTGTAAATAATACGAGAACGGAACGAGAACGGATACGTCACTGCTTTGTGCATGACCTCCGCGCGAACCAATGACGTCATCGGTTGCCTGGTCGTACGGCAGTCGTTTTGAACGTGATCAAGGTGACTGACTCGTAGTTGATTTCCGAGAGCTTTTCTCGCTGTCAATTTTGATTATTTTTTACTGACATTGATAAAACGTTTTATATTAGAGTGATTTTGTATATTTATGATGAAATAAGAAATATTGGATGCATTTCAGCTGATATTTATACCCACCGAAAACGCATGACATTGATCTGCTGAAAGAGGTCGGCAAACAGGCCTGGGACCTCAGCAGAGTGGATGGAAATAGTGGTAGCTATGTCAAATGTCTGGGAACTAAATACTAATTCAAATGTTATTGGATTATAGTTATAGTTGCACGGATTTACATGGTTCTGGTTTCAGTTACGTTCCCGTTGTGGGCGCTTGTACTTAATCGTTTTCTGACACCCGTGAACGTAACGCAAACGAAATTACAAACAATACGTTACGTACGCAAATCTTAAACTCTCTAATGACAGCATTGACGCCAATCTCCTTCCCAGAGGCCTTTGCGCTTTACGCAATAGTACCTCTGCCACAGGCAGCCTTCAATTTTGTGCTCAATCACCTCACTACGCACGGCCATTTTCCGTATGTGACAAAACGTATGTGACATCCAAACTATTTATTGATGTCAGACTTCAGTAAAAAACATAAATACGAACCATTTTATCACGGACTATGTTTTGCAAGGTAATGTTATTGTAGTGAAATGGCGCACGTGATAAACTAAAACTAGGGAAAACAGCATTCTGTTTATGTACATAAGATGGGGAAAGAAACATTAAACACTAATTTTACTCGAAGGGATTTCCTAACAATCCCGTTCGTCTTGTTTTCTGGTGAATATTTCAATACTATTTCTAGCTTGAACGAATTCTTTTGTAAATTATAACTATTTCACTGTTTTCAGTGCGTTCACAAAACCGAGATTTATCAGCTATCGATGAAGTTACGAGAAATAAAAAAAGACATTTTACGTTTTTACAGGAAATAAAATGAAAGTTTCATTTACAGTAAAAAATAGGTTTTTTACACTTTACAAATAAAGCAAATTCCATTTTATATTTTTCATAATTTGTGTTTAAGAAACAAAATTGGAATTGCGTAAGAATTACAACATTTAATGTGGAAAATACTTTATACGCTTACAAAAAATAAGATCTTTGTACAAATTACGAACAAATAAAATAACTGATTACATTTAACGCCTTGTCCATGTCTACGAATTTACGTTTTTTATTTATTTAAATTACATTATTACGGAAATTACCCCTTGCCGACCCTCTTAAAACGGTGCACGTGGCGGCGCTGATAAATATTGTTTACAACTCTCTCGTCGTGTCGTCACCGGAAGCGCTGTCCCAGCACAAACCTCAATCTCCTTCCCGCCTTTGCGCTTTACGCAATAGTGCCTCTGCCCCATTGTGTCGTCACCGGAAGCGCTGTCCCAGCACAAACCTGTGTCATATGACGCCTTACTAGCCGATTTTGGCTAAAATTCCACTCCGCCGCCGCTTTACAACAGTGTTTATACGCGGAACTTGATATTGCTTTTTACAATTTGGGTTGCCTTTGAATCACATATTTTAGTGAAATATTGTTTATAGAGTGAAATATTATTGTCATACATAATTCAATCTTTGAAACAACAGAAACTACCACATAATAACGATAATCAAATTTGTGTTTGAAGTTCGAAAGTAGTTGCGTTATTTCCGGTTTCAACTAGTTCGAAAATAGAACGTCCTTGAGCGCAATAAAATCACGCGTAGAACTCCATCCGAACCAGACTCTAGCAGCGTAAACTTATTGCAATTTGCGCAATTTGGGCCCAGTTTGTTTTTACAAGTTTTCTAAGTTTCATTTATCATTATTTAGTAAACAGGTTTCTGAAACGATGTAATATATCCATAAAATACGTGGCAATCTTCAATTGACTTCCAAACGTTCGAAATTTCGAACAAACTCCCGGCACACCTAGCGCGATATGCGTCAGGTCGGTGTAGAAGACGCCGAACTGCAGCGTCAATGGTCTCTGCCCATAGTCACAAGTTAGACTTAAATATACCACGAATATTTACATTTGAGATATACTTTTTGATTTGTGTCTGTGGTGCACACCTCCTCTTCCTACATTCCTATACCGTCACACCCGCTCCCGGCATTTCCACGGGCACACTGCCTCTCCTAACCACCCTGTTCTGCCTATTACAAAATCCTCTGCATTAGTGATCGTTTGTTGCCTACACCCGATTTTACCCTGTCACCTACACCCGCTCCCCGCATGTCTGCGCTCACTACCTCTCCCGACATTCCTGTACCGCCACACCCACTCTCGGCATTTCCACGGTGTACACCCAAACCACCCTGTAGCGCTTATAAAAAAAATCCTCGGTATTTGCGTTCGTTTGTTGCCACACCTGACGTTACCCTGCCACCTACACCCGCTTCCGGCCTCTCTGTGGTGCACACCTCCTCTCCCGACATTCCAGTACCGATACATCCGCTTCCGGCATTTTCACGGCGCAAACCGCTTCTCCCAACCACCCTGTTCCGCCTATTACAAAATCCCCGGCATTTGCGATCGTTTGTCTCCTGCATCCGACGTTACATTACCAACTCATAGTTGCTGTCGACATAGGAAGTAAAGTAAGCAAATAACACCGAATAAACGGCAAGGTAAATACTACATCTAATTATAGTAAACATTACCAGCCACGCCCGCTCCCGGCCTCTCTGTGGTGCACACCGCCACTTCCAACATTCCTGTACCGTCACACCCACTCTCGGCATTTCAACGATGCACACCCATTTTCCCAACCATCCTGTAGCGCCTATTACAAAATCTCCGATGACGCTGACTGAAAACTGATGAATAGTTACATAAATGGTCAGCTACAATACGTTCCAGTGATTTGAATAAAAATGAGATGTTAGAAACTGGTCGGTAATTTTTGAGCAAATTGTGACCAAGACCAGCTTTTTAAGACGTGAAAAAATAATTGTTTTTCGAATCTTCTTTGTCGTTCATGTGCGCGATAATTTGTAATAAATAAACAGAAAATGGATATAATTTCAATATAGCAATTATTATTATTATCATATACGTATTGTTTTCCATGTTTGAGTCAAATAACAATATGTATAGCAATACAGATTATACAGTATCCAATTCTACCATCAGGTTCAAAAAGAGGGCGTCACAAGACCTGGCCACTAAGAATCAGTACGGCGAGCTTCTGCTTGATCTTTGTATGGCCACTGAGTTAATCATTCTGAATGGTAGATGTATAGGGGACAGTGGTGGTAAATTTACATGCCACCAAAGTAGAGGTAGCAGTACAGTGGATTATACCATATTAAGTAACTATTTATTTGAGAAATTTAACCTATTTCATGTTCACCCACTTAACTTATTGCTTTCTGACCACTGTCAGATATCATTTCATCTTCAAACTAGTGCATCTACATAGTACAGGGATGCCATAGATGACTATTACAATGCTAAACAGCAAAATAACTTGAGTTATTTATGGCACGATGAATCCAAAGTACATTTTGACAATGCTTTGTGTAGCAAAAATATTGGAAAACTAATTGATGTCTTTAACAGTAAAGAGCTCAGAGCAAATCAAGAATCAGTTAATGAAGCTAGTTTACTAGTCTCAAAAATATATCTGAAAGCAGCTGATAAAAGTCTAAAAAAGTTTATGAAGAAAAATAAAGAACGTGGTTACAAATCGGGTATAGAAAACAAAATCATAAATGGTTTACAAAAGACCTCAATAATATGAATAAAGAAATAAAATATATCATCAACACTTAGTCAGCATCCATACAATAAACAGCTTATAACATGCTATGATCTCAAGCGAAATTACAGACGGCTCCTAAAAAAACGTAAGAGAGATTTTAAAAATGACATTATTAATAAACTAGACACAGTGAGTAAATCTAATCCAAACAAATATTGGGACCTGATTAAAGAACTACAAGGTTCTGAACAAAATGTAAATAAAAATGATAGCATCCCAGGTCAAAAATGGCATGACCACTTTAACAATTTAAATTCGTCTATGCCTGAGAATAAATATATATATGATGTATATCATAACCAATCGTCTATCAATATACCGGTACTAGACAATTTAATATCTGAACTGGAAATACAAAATGCATTCAGCAAAATAAAAAGTGGTAAATCCCCAGGATCTGATCGGATAAGAAATGAAATGATAAAAAGTAGTAGACATACACTATTCTACCTTATCCTCTGTAGTGGTTTCTATCCCAGATCATAGAATCTCGGCTCTGAATTTTGTATACATTTATACTTCTTTGATGTCGAGATTCTATGTTATTTTATGTGTTGACTTTCTATTCACACATACAGTTTCCGCGATTTAATAGATGACCTTTGACCCATAAGGGGCGTATTTACTGTTTCATGCAGTTGTGAGTTATCTACGAGTGCACAGTGATATTCTTATTGTATCAACACAGTTATTGCTGGACAATTGTTTGCTGTACTAAGGACTATTAGAAGCTAGTACTGTTTGTTCATGACTTTAGTCTTTCTCTGTGAACTTCCCTGTGCGTTGATTACATGTTGTTTGATCCACCTGGCATTTCCGTTGATTTTAACAGTGTGGATGTTCGAATAAATATTTTATTACATTTGAATATTCTTGCAAGTATCCTATTCACTGTGTGAATTCTTCTATTTTTAGAGCGAAAAATCCCAAAATAGGTGTCCAACAAACCAATGAATTTACTCATTTAATTTATTTTTTCCCTTTTATATTGCAAATCGCAGGTGTGACAATTGCTCAAGCTGGCGAAGATACTATTAAAATATATTGATTCCGATTGCCTGACAGGGCTATGAGGATAATATTACAAGATACATACAAGTGTATAATACGTATATCTCACTCTATTTCCCAGATACCAAAATGAGCAGTGGTTGCAAGACTAATCTACAGAAGAGCTATTATCACAGTGCCTCAGCTCAGCCTTTCCTTGGAAAGACCTTCCACGAACTACAAGATGAGGTCGCAAGACAATTTCCAGATAGAGATGCACTCGTGTACTGTGAGAGCGGCAAGCGAATTTCATTTAAACAATTTTTAGATGATACCAATCAACTTGCAAGTGATTTAGTGAAGCTTGGTCTAAAACCTGGTGAGAGAGTTGTCTCTGGATGGGGGATGGATACGAGTGAATGCTGTTGAATTCAGCTGCTATTAGAGCTGGATTAATTGCACTTGAATTGGCAGAATTACAATCGGTGGATCATTTAAAATACACAATAAATCAAACGGAGTGTTCTGCTATGTTTGTCGGCTTCAGTCTGTACAATCAATATGATAAATTGAAACAAGTTTCTCCCGATATAGAATCTGACACACCAACATTATCTCGTGTATCATCATTGCGTTACATCATAACATTCGACGATGACTGTCCTCTCATCGGATGTAGCATCGTAATGCACGAGAGTAAACTTCGAGGTCGTGGCGGACTAGAAGAATATCAGGTAATTAAGGATTTGAAGAGCAAAGTTAGTGCAGATGATCCTTATATGATAACCTTCACGTCTGGCAGCACTGGACACCCCAAAGCCGTGGTTCGCACACAAAGAAGCACTTTAGAAAATATATATGCTTCAAAGTGTGATGCTACAGCTAATGAACACAGTGTTATAAAAGTTCTAAAATTAGGGTCTCTTGTGTCATCATGTGGCTTATACCAAGCCATGCTTCTAACCTGGGGTGCTACTCTGGTTTCACCAAGACCGACAGAAGATTTCACTGGTGCACTGGAAGCCATCGAAAGTGAAAGATGTAATTTCGCTCTGTTGTTTCCTCAGCTTTTATCACAAGCTGTCAATCAACAAAATATCAAGAGTTTTGATGTGTCATCGTTGCAGCGATGTTGGTGTACTGGAATGTCTTCCCACAAGGCACTGTTCTGAATGCTGTCAAGTTACTATGAAGTAATGCAGTTTTCCTCTACGGAACAAGAGAAACCCTCTATATTGGCATCGGGGATGTATCGGATGCATTGGAAGATAAAATTCGTGGGAAAACCCGGATAGTTGGTCACTGTGAAGTAAAGATAACAGAAACAGCCCACAGCATCATTCCTGTTAATACTATGGGTGATGTATGGGTTCGTGGTCCAAATATTTTCCAGTGTTACTATGGTGACAAAGAACGCACAAAGAAAGTCAAACATTCAGATGGTTGGTATTATACTGGAGATCTCGGCCAGATGGATGAGGATGGTCGGTTGGTTATATTAGGCAGGAGTGACGACATGTTTATTAAAGGCTCAAGCAATGTTTTTCCAGCTGAAATCACGAACTATCTTGGAGATCATTC